TCCCTACCTGCCTTTTCACTGTTCCTAATCACTCTTCCCAGTTGCCCCCCTGTAAACCCATTCACTCTTGCAAACATGGAGTTTGGAACACTACAGGAAGAAAATCCACTTGGACACAGAGTTTTAAAGCACACATGTAGCAGACAAGCAATTCAGAATGCTCTGAATTCAACTGCCCATAGCTGAAGTGGCTTGTCAAGTTTAAAAATGCACACCAGGCTACCATTACATATGTTGGTGCATAAGAGCACAAGTTTGGCCTTAAAAAGACACCTGCAGAAGGCAAGTGCATATGGCAACAAGAGCACTGATTTTTCAGATTCATAATAAATGCAATTTTAAAAGTTACAGAAGAGGCCAATTTGTGCTATTAATCTAAATCAGATCATTAGATGTGGCATTATTAGTTTGGTAATTAAAAATGTTAAAGATGCCTAGAAGTTTACAATAAGCCCACTCCAACTTTTTGAAAAGAGAACTGAATCCCTGATATAAGTCATCATCACTGCCAGAAAAAACATGCCATTAGGTTATGAATATTACCTTCCAGACCTTGGCTCTTAGAGAATCAGGTAGAGGTCTTCCTTGAATTATGTTTCGGACAGTTTCAAGATCACAGCCACCTTCTTCAAGTGCTTTTGCAAGGTCTATTTCCCTTGAGAGGGAAAAATGTATTTAAGAAAATACAATGATATTTCCATATCTTAATATAATTTATACATAACATTAATATATATATCTGATTAAGATCAGACTCATCTGATCTTAGTGGGTCAGTCTAGATGTTCTCAGGGGAATCCCCTGAGTGGTGGTAGCCGTTACCAGGTACTTTGCCAGGAAACCCTTAGTCTAAGGGAGTTTCTCAGCAAGGAAAGGCACCTTCCCCCTTCCTTCCGACAGACACAGTTTTCCATCACAAGAAATAACTATTTTACTGTTTCACAAAAACAGTTAATTTGTTTCTGAAAGACTTGCTCATGAATAAAGTATTTTTGTCCTAATGAAAGTAATGTCTTAATAGTAGTTAACTACTTTTTGACAATATTTGACCAGTCAACTGGCAGAATCTATTTTGACTGGTAAATTTTCAAACCTACCCTTTTCATCTCCATGAGCTGTTCTGTCACTGAACTTAAGTTTACAATTTTATAAAACATGTACAAGAATCAAGATGATATATAAATGCCTACAGCAGCAATGTGGGGTGAAAAATTTTCACACTAGATTTTCCCCACATAAAGTTTTCCATTTATAAAAGGGCATTGTTTTATAAAATTATTGGGTTGGATCAAATCACTCCCTTCCACTAAGCCTTTCTTTGTCCAAGGCAAGGGGGGAGGACTTCAAAGGAATGAGTCACTGGAGCCTACCCATAATGAATGTCAAATCAGGCAGTTTCAAAACTCTAATTAACTTTTCAAATGACTATACCTAGAAAGCATGCATATCTACATTTCTCACACGCATACACAAAGAAAAATGCATTAAATGTTTTTATTGAATTTCCCCCCTAAAAACTCTTATTGGCTGTTGAAAAAAAACTTTTCAGAAGTTTATATAGCATGTAAAATTAACATGGCAGTTTTCTTTAGTTTAGTCTACTGAATACAAGTCAAGTAAGCATGCTGAATCAGATAACAATTGATTTAAGGCAACAGTAAAATTTTCATAGAACTTTCTACAATTTGTCCTAGAAGCATCTGGTGCAAACAAATACTCCAAAGAAAGAAGAATGCATTGGCATTATTAATTGGGGTGGGAAGGGATCACATTTTTGAATGCTCCCTTAAGTAAAAATACCCTTCCCTGCAACACTGCAAAGAGAAAACTAAGCTAGAATCTCCCCATTTGTTTTTAATCTGTAGGAAATTTTTACACAAGAAAATATGACATTAAATGCACCCCCTCCCCAGCTCTCTCTCATGTCTCTGTGTTTCCTGATTTCACCGTAATGAGCACTTATTTTGAAACAGCTCTTTATTTATTTAGGATATTTCTATGCTACCTCTTCAGAGTCATGTTCAATCACTCAACCAGCTGGAATCTCAGAAAATTAATTTCTACCTAGTCTGCGGCAATGCTCACAAATGTGATGATACATTCATCCCCTCTGTGACAACAGCACAGATTGTATGCTTCCCAGGGCTTGAGCCCCTGTCAATTCAACTGTCATGTTTAAAAATACTGCTTTTCATCTATTTCCTTGTGTGATACACAGTAAGAAAATGAAAGCATTTCTCTACAAAGGAATAGTTTTACATCCCAGACACACAAAAAATGCACAGATCAAAAGCCCTTTCTTCACACCTTCTTAGCCATAAAGTATGACCCAGGTTTTTCAGGATAAAAAATCAAAGCCGGTGAATTTTTTTTTAATAAATGCTATTCCAGATAAACCTAATAATTAACCCAGGAAAGACCATCTGATCATCTTTTAAACAGCATCCGTATATCCACGTCAATCTTAATATGTACTCCAAGTTCCGTGCATATACTAGTGCCCCTTTTTCTACTGGTGACTTACATTCTCCTATCACAGCCCAGAATCGTAGGTAGACAATGATACAGTCTTGGTTTCAGAAGTGCACCAATCAGGATCCAGCTCCAAATCCACCAATGACAGTTAGGTTCCAAGGTTCTGGTCCAATGCCAGAAAAGATCCCAATATTAAGCCAACAGCAATTCTTCCCTATTGGAAACCAAGGTAAATAGAGGTGCATAAGAGCTCCCTGAGCCCTTCATCTTTTGTAGATAGCTCCACCCACCATGAACACAAAAACATTTGACCCTTCTCGTTCATGACAGGCAGTGTCTGATTTCTTCTCTCCCAATCTGCTTTTATTCTCAAATTTAATCTTCCGTGCCTTTCTTCCTGGTTCCCCTAGCTCTTGCACGTCCCATTACATCCCACTGTATCCTAGTTAGTGGCTCCTTTCCCCTTATCCTAAGCTCCATCCCCATTTCCCCCACCATACTGTCTGATCCCGATTTGGGCAGCCCATCACCTATCTCTTCTGAATTGGTTTGCTCTGGTTCAGGCAAGCGGGAAGCACATAATTTGGATCGAAAGTGACTTTAATTGCCCCTAGCTCTCAATAGGCTCTCAATAGGCGTTGTAGTAAGGGCATTCCAATCAACCTTTTCAAATCACATTGGCAAAGTGTGTCTGAATAAAGGCAGATTAAAATATCTCCCATTAAGGACCGCTGAGGGGGCAGCATTTAGATGTGTGAGCATGAATTCTCTACAGTAATGAGGGACTGTTAAAGTGTTTTATATAGGCTGGAATGGTTGGAGATGGAAGGATACCAAAGAACTGGGTATAGCATACTCTTTTAGCTCATATAACTTATCTGAAGTAATCTAGGTCTTTTACATAGTTCTTGATAATTTGCAGTTTCACTTTTCCCATCTCAGTTTATCCTCCATTTTTAGACCAAGACAGGATAATTTCTTATCTATTTCTTGATCACGATTAAGCTCATAGAGCAGTCCATACTTCTTTGTGGGGAAAATAACCTTCAGTCTATGTTTAAATGCGTGCAAGCACATTTTGGCTTCAATGGCGCCCTGACCCAAATCTAGTCTTAAAGCTACTCCAGCTACACATTTTGGGGTTCCTGTAACACAGTGCAAAAAGTGGCAAAGAGGGTGATCTAACAAGCGAATACAACTAAATATAATTCAACTTCAACTCTGCTTTCATTAAAGCAGTACGGAGAGTACCAGGAAAATTTTACCAAGCCAAACAGAGCCCAGTATCATTTATCCTTCCAATATTGCTTTAAAAAGATTTCTGGTTTTGATGTATTCACGAATGAGTGGCTCTTTTATTCTCATTTACATCTGTTTGTAATGTTTAGAACTATACTTCGAGTGGGCTGCCGATTTTGGGCAATGATAGTGAATGTATACATTTACAGTACTACATTAACACTTCTGACACCTTTTTCAGGTAGCTGTCTTTGAATATTTTCTCTTCCATTATGCAATACGATTTCCTTTAAAACTGTTTGCTTAATACTTGTTTTCTTCATAAATCTCTCGTCTTGGATGGTGAAAAGTACACCCTGCTCTCTGCAACAAATGACATGATCAACACAGAACTGGACTGTGAGATAAAGCTATTGGGCGGCTACTATCCAAACAGAGCTCTCTGCATGACTGGTTGTATTAAGGAAAGCTGTAGAAAGATGGAACAATTTTCAAAGGCAAACAGGCCAAACCCACATGTAAGTCTAAAATATTCCAGAGCCCAAATAGTTTAGTACAGGGCTGGTCCCTACATATCTGGTGCTACTTCTTATATATGTGATGCTTTTCATTTTGCAATTCTTCTGAACATTTCCAGTGCTTACTTTCATCAACATCTTCTCCCACACTTCATAGAAACTTATATGAGTTATATAAAATACCAACAAGTTAGTCTTTTAAAGTATTTAGGAAGTGATAACACCTGTATCTACAACTTGCAGATGTGATGACTTTTATCTTCATAAATTTAGCACTTCATTATCTAAGATACATAATTCTGCAAATTCTGTAGCATGGATTCTGAAAATCAGTTTGGTTGAAAACAGTCTTTAGAACTGATTTTGGAAGGCTTTGCCAGTTTCAGATTCTGTGATTGGAATTATATGTTTTTTCAATGATTTATTGCGCAGATGTGGGAATTCATGAAACAGTTCCATCTTTGAAAAAGGGTGAACGCTGAAATGGGTCTCAAGCTGGCTGCCCATCAGTTGGATCTTGCAAGTTTCTAAACGTTGTGAACATCCTACACAGTCAGATCTTCCTAATAACTGCAATTTTTGAACATCTTACATACAGAAACTATGACCTCTTTGGCAGCTGGATTTTGTGAGTAACTACAATTTTGGAATAATTTCTACACAGAATTTATGACTATTCTGATTGCATCATACTATGGATTGTGATTGTCGAACATATGCTTGTAGTCTATGAGGAAGTGGTTACTTATACTACTGAATTTTTTAATCATACAAATTTGATTATTTGTTAGATGGTATATGAAGAAATTCTATTTTTATTCATTTGTCAACTAACATTTGTCATGGTTATTGGTAATTTTTCATCTATGCAGTGATTTCTGATTCTCTCTTTGTTTATACTGGCATGTGGAAACAGCATCTAGATTAGAATTTGCCAAATTGTGGGAACAGAAGAAAATTCCCAGTAGGAAAGCATTCTTAGAAAAATGAAAAACTTATAAAGGAGGACATGATTAAGTTAGGAATTCTTGTACCCTATGGAGTTAACCATGGTAAAGGCTTGAATGTATTTGTTTGTCAGTGTGGAAGCTTTGTGATTTGGAAGATCTAAAAAATTGACTATCCTGAATAATGACACAACTATTTTGTGGGAATGAACAAACTCCTGTGAGGCACGCCCGGGACGAGTTCAAGTTCTCACCGGGGGATTGGCAAGCAGTGCACAGAGTGTGCTGAGTCTGCATGAGTCTGCTGTAAGCATGAACTTAACTACATTCGGGCAAGATAATATGAGCTTCAGCATAAAGAACATTCTGTTAAGAACATAGTGTGATCTTAGCTTAGAGGCTTCTTCTTCTTTGTAACATTTTCACTATACAGGGCAGGGGGGAGAAATGTGTGAGCCTGCTCTAAATAAAGTGCTGCTGACAGGCAGTTGAACACAGAACAGTTGGGACAGAGAGAGAACTAAGAGCTTGGTCAGAGAGCTTCAACAGATCTCTCTGTGTTGTGTCATTTATTTGAACCCTCGAACCAACGCTATTTTGTTATGGTTTTCCATTAAGTCATGCTCATGTATCTATATTTTAAGATTATGTGCTTATGTTATGTTATCTTTGTAGTGCCTGAAGATCTGATCATAGGCTACAGTTTTGCAATATTTTACCACATATACTGTGGCTTCTTTGTAATATTTTATTTAACACATTTCTAAGCTACCTTTCCACCCAACTCATGATTCTTGGTAAAACAGCATCTAAAATACAAATATACATGAAATATATAAAACAACAAAATGTAAACAAATAAATGAGGCAGGCCAGCATGGTGTAATGGTTAGAGCAGGGTTCCCCAACATGATGCCTTGGGGTGCCATGACATGCACTACTACTTCCCCTAGCACCCATGATGGTTTTAAGAAAGCAGCCAGGCTTCCCTTGGTCAGTGTGTTCTTTGGGTCACCACTGAGGAGAAACGAAGGGTATAAATAAAGTAAATAAACCAAATACTGTCTCAATATAAATACTAATAATAACCAATTATACAATTATTATGTATTCAAAATAATATGGTAATAGCCCATCCATTTCTGGATGCAATTAAATCAAGTGTAAAATATATCCTAAAACAAATAACCGATTCTAGTACTGAGGCTCAAATCAACAGTGCTATGCTTAGTTAAAACACAAGTAATTTACAAGATGATAAAGACCAGAGTTTGACCTTCTTGGAATTTAGTCAGTTTTATGCCCCTATAATAAAACAGACACTTCCAACATCACAGTGCCCTTTGACAAACAGATTGCATTATTTGCTGCAATTACTCATTGGCTTATCACACAGCACCTATGCTTTCCTTAGGGCACTCTTTCATTCAGCTAACATCAAATGTTATTAATCTTATAACACACAACCAAATTGCAACTCTGCATGCTGAGAATGAAGCTCGGGATTTTCTTAATTTTCCAGTGGTAAAAAATACCATATGGGAATAGCCACCTGGGGCGCAGGTAGTTTTCTTGTTCTTCAGTTGTCAGCATGATAGGGCTAAAGATTTTGGAAAAACTGAATCAGGTTTTATGCCTGAAATTCATTGTGTGCTCAATGGTGTTAGAAGCAGGTGGTTTAGTATATTTTCAAATTATCAAGAGTAAGATGAATGTGCTTAAATACATGCTTTACATTAAGATGCCCAACCCAATATCTACATAAGACCTCCGCTTGAGTGTGAAAAGCTGGATCTGAAATCTGGTGACCATTAAACACACTACTGCATTTTACAGTGGCTATCCCCATCGCCCTCCCCGGGCCCCCCCATATCAGCTCCCCTCCCACCCTTCCTGAGTTCTTCTTGCTCCTTTACTTTACTTTACATTTCGATTTATATACCGCCCTTGACCCCGAAGGGTCTCTGAGCGGTTTACAGATATGTACTAATTGATTCCTAACCTAGGGCCGCAATTCATATGGGGAGGGGCTGCCTACCAGCACCCTAGCGGCACGTTCTGGTTGGGGTCCTCCCCCACTCCACCAACAGGGTCCCCTCAGCAATGTATTGGAGCATCTCCTCTTTCCTGATAGTTTCTCTCATCTCTTGCCTCCCCCCCCCCCCTGCACCATTTTCTTTGTGCTTGGGGGGGCACACGTGGG